TTTTCCACTTAGGAAATCTGTGAACCCATAGCAAAAGAATGACATGGCAGGAAAAAAATTCTTCGTTCATTCTCAAAAAGCTTCTTGCCATTTAGGAGGGGCAAAAATAGCGCTTTTTTTTTTTTTTTTTTGCAAAAAAACTTTTTTGCAAAAGTTTCTTTTGCAAATACATATGATTTTCAGGCTTTTTGTAGGCTCATTTTTTCCTAGTATAATTATCACATTCTCTATTGCCATATGGATTGAGGACAACTTTTCAGTTTATATTTGAGCATATTCAGTTTTTGTTTTGGGGTTTGTTTTTTTGTTTGATTTGAGGGAGGAGGGGGCAGAGAACACAACAGCCTTCTGGGTTTCAAGTTGAAGAAAACTATAGTAATGCCGTAAAGCCTTGTGGTCAGTATTATGTTTTGAAGACAAATGCCGAACATCAGCATGCCCTTTTACCTCAGAACTGTTTTGTGTTTGTTCCTTTATTTATACTCATTTATATTTATTTGTATTAAAAAAAATCCTCATTTTATACAACAGCAATTTTTTTAAATCAGTTTTTATTATGACTGGAAACCTGTTGAGACTATTTTGATAGTTCTCTTATCAGCTCACCTGCTCACAAGATTGGTGCAATTAGAGCAAGGTTGGTATTTAGGCTAGCTTCAATCCTTAACTGTAACTTCTGAAGTTACACTTTAGTGCTGGATCTGGGAGAAATTTCTATTTAAACATCTAAGATCTAATACCAGATAGGTCAGTGAAAATGTGGAATGTTCTTTTTTCTAAAGGTTGAAATATTCTCTACTAACATTCTAGAAACTAAGATAGTTACTGAGTATAAATGATAGCCAAAATAATCACAAAAGAGTTGAAGGGAGGTGTTGTCATTAGAACAGTGCACTGGGATGCTGGCATTTTGGTTCCGTTTTTGTCATTTTGTCTAATTTCAGCCAAGTAGCTCTTAGCTTTTTACCAGTATCTAAAATGGCAATCCAGGCTGCTCATATGAGCATCAAAAGCAGACTAGACTAGAAGGTGGTTTGGGAGAAAGCTTATATGTTCACAATAACATTATAAAAAAACTCTTCACATATACTGCTTGTTTGTCATATCCTGCTGTCAGAATTAATATAAAGCATGCTATCCTTTATTTTAATGCTAATGTTTTGACTGACTTAAATCAAAATGGGAGCCAGAAAGAATGACCTCAATCAAACTGAACGCACTCTAGCAGCTGAAGCAGCACATCAAACTCATGAACAGTGTGAGGACAGCACAGTGAATAAAAATTGACCATACCGTCTCACTGGTTTCTGGTTAGGTTTGCGCTATGTCTTTACTCTTGTGAATGATAAATATTAATGATGTGCTTGGATTGAAAGGTCTCATGCTTGCCTGCAGAATCTTTGGGCTAAATTAAATATAGGGAAAACTTGTCATGCATGAACAGGAAGTTGAGACCCCATGTTGTCCATGACCACCAGTGTAATCTCAAAGTGGTTGCTGTTCCCTCCTCTACATCTCTTTCTCCCTCACCAGTGTCCAGTTGTATTGCACGTGTGAGGCAGATGTAGGTACCCGCACCTGTAGAGGTCGATTGAAGGGTAGTGTGCTGCCGTTCAGGGCCTTGGGTTGTAAACTCTTGAAGGAACTTGCTATGTATTTGTATAGTGCCTAGCATGATGAAGCCCCTCCAAAGCTTGCAGAAGTCTATACGCGTTATTTTAAATAATGCTGTCAGTTGTGATTTTTGTGATTGATTGCTAGTATTGCAATATGGGTTACTTTGAGTCATTTGGATATATTTGTGCATGTTAAAATTTCAGCTGTTAGCAGTAAAGCTTGGATATTTGCTCTGTGTCAGTTTATTTAAAACCTACCTGGTTTTGCTCTGCTTAAAGCGATACGTGTTATGATTCCATGGTGTGATTTACTAAGTTTGTAAGTATAAAGGATCTTTCAGACTGTAGACTTGGTAACTGACCTAGGAGTTTGACAGTGAATGCTGAATGTTGTGGTTCATGCATAACCAGCAGTAAAAGTTGTTTGACTGAAGCACAGGCTGGAACCAGTTTGGTTTGTTCTTGTGTTTGTGGGTTCAGCAAGAATAAAAGTCAATAAAGACCTGTTTTATTTCTCTTTCTGGTAACTGCTATCTAGTGTGGTGCCTCTGACTTTGTCAGTCTATGGCATGAATTTACCTGAGTGTAACAGCACCTGTGAGAATGTGTCTTTTTTTCTATAAAAGACAGCATTTGAAGTAAATCTGCACTGTCCATGGTAATTAGCAGGGCTACACAGAACTGGACTGGGTAATACCTTGAGCAGCCTGCTCTAACTGGACCCATTGTGATCAGGCGGATGGGCTGGAGGCCCCTTCAGCCTGCGTTATCCTGTAGTCCCAGAAGGTGAGCGCGCCAGGTGCTTCTTATGGAAGCAACTGATTCAATCCATTCACCTGTGGTAGTCACCAAATTTGAGTTTCAACTACAGTTACTTTTAAAATCCTTTTTGTTTTTTCTAAAAATTTGCATTAATATTTCAGCATTTTTAATTATTACTACCAAGATAGAAGATGCAGAATTTCTTCCTGCATAGGGAGTATATTAGTGCTTTGCTGGAATGGCCTTTATTTTGTGATTGACTTGTTTGGCGTTAGTAATCTAGCTTGTGAATTTGGAAATAGGAACATAGTTCAATTTAGTTTGCTCACTGTGACCCACGTTTCTTATATGGAGGAATTGTTAACGAACAGTCCAGATATGGAGGCAGTAATTCTTGCCGCCACCTTCCCCTTATCCATTTAGTAAGGCTTGTAAACTGAAAATGTAGATGCCTGATTTAGGAAACCAAAGGTACCAATAACCATGAGACTTAAAGGGGAAGTATATCTTTCTAGTTATAAACACAGGCAAAGAATAATCCTGTGTCAGATGTGGGTTTGTTAGAGGCAGCTGGTAACATCTTAACATGGGGTACAGGAATGTTTTCCAAACTGTCTACATGGAATAATGAGTGATTTACTGACTGTAGCAAGGATGTGAAGCAGCATCTTCATGTAACACTTTTTAAAATCTGTTCTTAACATTTTCTGATAAGCAGGCTTGGATAACTTGTGCTCTGGACTATTACAGGGACTAAACCAGCATTGTGCACACTCGTGCATGTGCTCTCTCCCTTTTTTTAAAAACCTTGGATGTAATGGGGAAATGGCAAAGAGCTGAAGGATTGCAATGTAATTCCACTCCCTGAAGAAAAAATTGAGGAGTTTTTTTTTTGAGGTTCTCCTGCTACACTTAGCAAATCTATCTTTGCTAAGACTATCATAGAAGCATTTTTAATATCTTTCCTCCTACTGCCTGGCATGCATAGAAGTAGAGAACCATCTGAGAATAACTGGAGTTTTACTGTAGTTATTGAACTGGTTTTAAGGACACCGGAATGAAATTTAATAGAAGGAGGAGTGCAGGAGGTGAAACTATGTACCTGTCAGCTCCTTCTGTCTATGTACTGCATGAAGTTACAAAATCCTATTTAATAGAACTGTTGAGCTGACTCTAATACAGCATGCTTAGGTTTTTAAAGTTATTTGATCAATGTATCCATTAACTATTCTTCATAAAGCAATCTGTCTTAACAATGATGTCTTAAGGCTTGTCTGGGGGTTTTTTCAGTTGAACACCTAGATCTATGTTGGACCGTACAGATTTGATGTAATAGAATATGCAGACTTTTAGAAGTTACTTAAACCTAAAAAAATCCCAAATAAGCCTCAGTTACAGAGTTTTTTAAAGTTAAGTCAGGAAGTACAGCTAATAGTGGTGTTAAACAGATTATCATCACTCCCTCAAATGGTGATTTAGAATAGGAGACAAAGTTGTAGACAAGCATGGTACTGATTTAAATAATTTGAAACACTTGTTTTCAATAAACCTCTTATGTACCCATTGTTCATCAACTTGAGTTTTTAGATCCATGGATCTGAAGAAGAATGGAGTCCTTGTAGAGGAGGGTGGTAGTGAAGAAAAAAAAATGGCTGAGAAAAGTTCTCAAAGAGGAGGTTTTTAAAGAGGGAATTTTAGCTTTTGAAAACAGAAAGCTTTCTCATTTTCTTACAGGCGTACGCTGTGGGAAACATCTCAAGGTAGTTTCCTCAGTGTGAAAGTGGATGGCTTCAGCATATTTTGATGTGACTGGCTTACGAAATTTCTTTATTTTTGTAATAGATAAGCTGCACACTAAAAGTGTCTGGCTCAGATTGAAGATGATAGAAGATACTGATCTTGAGATCAAGTAAAGAAATCAGCTATTTTTCATGACAGTCTTCATGACGGTTTTGGGGTCCCCCATTTGAGATATTGATATAGTATGTTAACTTAATTTAAAAACTGGTTATCTGAAGCTTGTAAATAAATATGAAACCATCTAGCAATACAGAAAAAGTCTTACAGAATCAGTAATTTACACTAAAATACTGTACAAATATTTGCAAGTGGAATTTGTAGATAATGATAAAAACTATCCAGGCAAGTAGATAAACTGCAGGGTGTTTGGTTTTGGTTTATTCCCAGCAGTGGTTTATGTTCTACCTTGGAGGCTGGTTACAAGTAGTTTCTGCTGGCTCTATTCTGGGACCTGTCCTGCTTAATATCTTTTGTCACCCATCTGGAGTTGGAGTGTACCAAACCTGGGGAGCAGTCAGTACGCTCAAGGGCAGGGCTGCATTTCAGAGGCAGCTAAACAGGACAGAGCAATGGACTGACAGACTGTCATGAAATCCAAAAGGACAAATGGAAAGACCGTCTCATGGAACAGAATAATGACTTGCAGGGGATACAAGCTGGAAATGGCTATATATGAGTCAGCAGTGTACCCTGGCAGCATACAGGAGTGTAGGCACTAAACTGAACAAAGTGATTATTCCTGTTTACTCAGCACTTAATAGACCACACCTAAACCACTGCATCCAGTTTTGCTCTCTACCGTCCCACTGGAAGGCCGCAAAGATGGTCAGTGGGCACATGACCTATGAAGAGAGGCTGAGGGATGCAAGACTGCATGGGCATGAGGCTTTGGAAGGACCTCGTGGCAGCCTGCCAATATCAAAAGTAGAGGTTATGAAGAAAGTGGAGCGAGACTCCTCACAAAGATGTGTGTCAGAAGCCTGAGAGACAGTTGTCATAAAGTGAAAGAGAGAAAGTTTGTTTTGTACCAGGAGGTGCTGGTCTGTGATGATCTGAGTAAGAAAGTCACTCAGACACTGTAAAATATCATTGAAAATGTTGTTAGAGCTAACGGTGTAAAGGGAGAAGAGTATAGATAATCTTGTGTTTGGTTTGATGCTGGGAACACTGAGTTGTGCAGCATCAAACAGGCCTTCAGTCCATGTGCAACATCCTGTGCATACCCCATCCATAGAAAGGGTTACCCCATGTTGGTCCTTCGAGCTATTCTTGGATTTCCTTACAAGAAAACAACTCTATTCATAATTTCTACTGTGAAGCAGAAAGGTTGTGCACATGAGAACTTCTAGCTGCACTTTTAGATAAAAGCAAGGCCACCCAGGTGGCGTAACTGCCGGTACCAAAGCGGGAGCTGCCTGCAGGCTTCTCTGTCGGAGTGAGCTGGCTGAGCTCATCCTGCAGCCAGAGGGTATGTGCAGCACAGCACGGGCCTGAAAGCCAGCCTGTGCATGCAGCACAGCACAGGCATGGGCCTACTCTGGTTAGCGCTTGCGTGGATCACTGACTTCCTGATGTATTATGGTCTTCTGGTCAGAATTGCTGCAATGTCCTGGCTTGACATAGTAAGACCATATTTCACCATGAGGACAGTCAGGCATTGAAACAGGTTCCTTAGGTTGTGGAATCTCTGACCTTGGAAGTTTTTGAGGCTCAGCTAAATGGGAGCCTAAGCAACATCGTGCGAATTCAGCATTCACCATGCTTCAGCAGAAGGTTGAGCTGGATGACATCTTAAGGTCCATTCTGCACTGAATTGCGCTGTCTCTGTTTTGGGTCTCCCTCGTGATCTTAAAAACTTGTTTGGAAGTTGTGATAGCTTTGTCAGAACTGATGGGAATATCCATAAGACAGGAGAATTCTGGGTTTCCATGTAACTCCATAGTAAAATCAGTGCTATGGGAGTAGTAATGTAGTTAGAAGCAGAGTTGTATTGGATCCAGGAAGTTTCACGTGTCGCAGGATCACTAAAGAAATGCAATCATAGAATAAAAAAAGACCCTGTCAGCCATTCCTTGTTTCTGTAGTCATGCATCACATAGGCTTTATCTGTCCCCTCGTTTTCATTTTTTCTCTTGAAACATTTGTTTTAACAGGAGTATCTGTATTGCATCCTTCATGCGAAGGATAATATAGCCATTAGGTTCTATCTTTGCTAGCTGCTGGTAATACGACAATAAATTGCATTGTGGTTGACATTTTAATATACAAGATGTATTAAAGTAATACTTAACAGTCTGTGCAACTCATATCTGAGGAATACTGAGAGATCTAGATACTGAATGTTGCCAAGTTTGTCTGTTCCTTTCTTACAGCAGGGGACATGGAGTACTTGGTTCTTACTGGAATCTGTCTCCTTCTTGTATGTTTGCTTTGGTGTTCTGGACCTGTGTGTAACTTCTGTCTGTGGAGTCAGCAATGGGCAGCCTAGAGGTATCAGAAATGACTGTTATCTAGTGAGACCTTCCATTTAATTGTGGTTTAAAAGTACTTGTATTGTGGGGAAAAAATTTCGCATGCTGAAGGGCCATTTAAATCTGGCAAAGGTGTGCATATTTAATTGAGACTTGGTGCTAGGCATGTCAAAATAGAAATGAGGTATTTTTGAGTGAAGGTAATTAATTGTTTTCTTAGTTAAGGGGCAGCTTAGTGATGTGGGGTAGTTGCAGTCTTTAAAGTAAAATTAGATGTCTCTTCAAAACATGTTCTGTAACTAAGACAAAAGGTTTGAATTTATTGGGTGAAACTGTGATCTGTGTTGCATAGAGTGTCAGCCTAGGACATCATAACAGTTTCTGAAAGAGTCTGACCAGAAGAGATTGTTTATTTACTTCTGAGGGGTAACTGCTTCCAAGGTATTTGGGTAGGTGAATTGAATTTGTGCCATTAAACATACTTAAGTATTTCATTTCCATATGCCTACTTGCACCTTTAATTTATTAGTGTTTCGGACTTTTTTCCCCAAAACTGTAGGTCTCCTGTTCTGTTTCATTCTTCTTGCTCTATATTTTCTCTTCTTTCAAAACTTGCTGCAGTTGTTCTTCTCCACCCATTTCTTTTCTGGCTTTATCAGACACTGTGGCCAGCTTTTTCCTGCTCGCCTGTGTTTCCACATGGCGAGTCAACAGACTGCTTTGCTAAACCATCGACAGGTAGCATTAGTGCCACATCGTTAACACTAGGTCTTTAACATTAGGCTTTTCCTACCTTTTCTTGACCTTCGATTGTTGTATTTATAGGCTTTGTGCGGTAGATGATTAAGCGTTATCTTGCTGCTCTTTTACTTGTCCTCCAGGCTTAATAGCCGTTTCCAGTGGTCATTTGAGTAACAGTTGCCACCGGAGCACAGAGAGGGTGGAGATACTGTGCTCCTCCCTCCCAATGATTCTTCTCTCCAGCTGTAATTAAGTCTTAAACAAATTGCAAGTGTTACACAGCAAAATCTAAATTAACGTGTTGTCCAAGTTCCCTTGTTGTTCTATAAATTTATGCGGTTCCACCCTGATAAGTGACTAAAAAAACAGGGGGAGGATCAGGGCAGAGAGCAGAACTCTGTCCCTCAGTAGGGCACTGTTGCTGTGTCCTAACATGGATTGAGTGATACAAAGCATCCTCTGTAGTAGGTGGCAAGTTAGGAGTAGGGAGTGAAGACTGAGCAGTGTCCACAGAGCGTAAGCTGTAGCTCTTACCTGATTGCATTCATGTTGCCAGCAAGACATTTAGATATTGGGAGGCATCTGTCTGGTGCTGTCTTCTTCCTGTTCTGTGGCGTTTTTTGGAAACTCTGAAAATCCCATCCTCCTTCCTCTTTTCTACAGTGTACAGAACAATTCTTGATCTCTGTGTAGGTTTATTAAGGTCATTAATCAGCCTGGATGTACCTTTTGGTCTTTGTACTGTGTTGGCACAGTCCATTCTTTTGAGTAAGTGGGTTTCGTGGGTCTGTTCAGTGGCTAATTTCATAAGAGTGCAAGTTTGGAAGGCTGATGTTAATGGTAATAGTTACAGTTATCGTCAGTTAATGCATTGTTGTCTTGAGGCTGCAGAACCTATGAACTGACTGTTGTTTCATGTAAACTACATGCTAAATGTTTCTATATATTGAAAAGGTTAGAATTCCAGTAAAATCATGTTACCTGTACACACATCAGTTTGCAGTGCTACATGAGTGGTAAAACTTATTGCCACAATTAGAAGTTTCTAATCTAAAATTTGAGAATTGAAGTATGATGAAGATTTAAGAATAGTTTGGAGGGGCTGCTGCTTTCCCCCTCTCATTGCAGGACAGGTTATCTTGTTTTTGAGGCTAGTTCAAATTAATTTTATGTCTGCACAAACTCACTAACAACAACCTTAGAGGCATAACCTAATTTAGCATGTTGAAATTTAAAAGTATTTAATATCACCATCATTAGAGAGAGTAAACCAGCATAATTTGTATGGCCCAAAGCCAGAAAAAATGATGCTATTTGTAGATGTTAGGTTTCTCTTTAACTTTTAAATTTTTACCTCTCCTTAAATGATTTATGAGAAGTTTCCATGAGTGTCAGAAGTATTGTTCTCTTTGGCTTAAAAATGTGCACTAAAGTCTTTCTCCAGATGAGAATATTGTTTCTCCTGTCTTTTTTTTTTAATTTGTTTAAAAAATATGTCATCTCATTCATAATCCTCTGTAAAATCTTCATGAAAAAAACAGAATTGGATACTATTTCCTGAGAAGCATTTTGGAGCCAGTTAAGTGCCTTTTGGAGGATCAAAATAAATTATTGAAATATTTAAAAGTAAAACACCAACTTAAAGCAAATGTTTTTAATAGGTATTTTAAAGCGTCTAGCAACTTTTAAAGTAGTATTTGATTCATTTTTTTTAAAGTGAACTTCTATGACATTTATTTCTATCCCCTGAAATACACCATTTCGATCTATGGCAGATAACCTTTTTAAACTCCTATTTTAATCTGATTTTTTTATAATAAAAATTGCTCTAGCTGAAGTGGATGAAAATGCAAATTTCTGTAAGGTGGAAATACAGGCTGAGTACAGAATAAGCATCTGAGAATAAAGGTGTTTGAAAAGAATCACACATTATTTTCTGTCCATCTAAAATCATCTAAAGTAATTTTCTTAGAAAAATAACTAAAAGCAGACTGCTAGGTGTAGTACGTGTTACTTTCAGTGAGCTTTTTTGTTTCTATAGTTTTATTGCAAGGATATATCTATTACACAACACATCCAATCAGCGCAAACTCCGTAAAAGAAACCTTCAAGCACTTGCACCATCTTCTGAAGTGAGAAACAAATGTCATGAGTCAGATGTGTGAACTGTGTCTTTAGGACGGAGACCCGCTTTCTTCCTTTCTCAGACTAAGTGGTGGCTTCACTGTCTGACTGGGGCTTGTGTTCTGAATCAGAATTGTGCTGTCACTTTCTGTTTTGTGGCTGGCTTTAAAAACTGAATTATCACTGAATTCCTAAAAATCTTAATTGGCCTTAACTAAGGGAAAAGCGATGAGTGGATGAATGCAATGTGACAGCTCTCCTTACTAGGAAAGGCCCTTAGTGTGTGAAGAAACTTGTCTTGTATCTGACGTGAGAAATGACACGTGAGTAAGTTAGCGAAAGATTATCTGCAGACTTAGTTGGATAGCAATGTATACACGCAAATCTGTGCTGTTGTGAGCAGTAAAATACAAATTATTTGACCTTTTGGGTGCTCAGGTATTCCAGTGCAAGTGATCTACTGTCTCCATTTAGCTTGTAGTAACTTGGCAATAGGTTGGTGCATATGAACTTACTTGAGTATGTGTTGTATAAAGTCATAATTTTTTTAGAATTTGTAGTACAAAATGAGGTTTTTAATGAAAATTCTATCTAGTTATTTAGCTTAATATATTGCTTTTTCGTTTCACAT